GAAAAACATTTGCTGAGGGCTATGTTCATCATTTTGATGTTTTTTTTTTTCTCTCATTGGTGTCCCAGAAACTTGAAAATTCGCAGACACCTGCCCAAAATGAAAATTGCCCCCCGGTCAACTGATTCCTGCAAAAACTGTGGGTAAGAACTGTTGTATCCTTGTTTTGTTTTGTTCCATTTTTGTTTAGTTTTGTTTCATTTCTGCCCTGTGTATACTTACAAAATCTCTTTATTCATTTGTTGCAGAGAGAGTATTAAGAAAGCATTAGATATTTACTACAAAACCTGGAGAAAACAGGAGGACAATTTCAAAAATTTTAGGTAAAAGCCTCTTTTGTTAAATTGTTTTGTTGATTTTAGTCATTTCCTTTACCTTGATTGTGAAAATAATCTGAGAGCCGAGTTTACGAGTATGTGTGAAGTGAAGACTCAGTTTTAGCTACTGGTCCTGCTCTCACTGCTTGAGCTTGTCTTTAAAAAGTATTTAGAGATAAGTAACAACGAAGCAATCATTCAGCACAAAATAAGTCATTTTATGTCCACCAACACAGTCAGGATTGAGTGAAAAGCTGAGCTCTTTCCATCAACGATGCATGCAGACTGTTTTTCAATATCATCAATTGCTGACGCTGATTTCTCCACGTCTTGTTAGAGCAAGCTTGTTCGTTTTCTGCAGTGAACTATCTGGACAAGTGGATGACCCCAAGAGATTTCTAACTGCTTCCTGTCTTTAGGTTCTGCTTTTTTTATTGTGTCATTGTGGGATGTGGATGTTTATAAGCCTTTTTATAAATGTGCTCTTGTGAAACTTCCTCCCCATTCTGGTGAGCTTGCAGCAAATCATTGCCTATAGTTGATTTAAAAAGGCACACATACGTTATTTTCCCCATTGTCTGAACAAAGTAAAACTTTTCTTGTTTTACTTCAGTTCGAATTACCAAAATTATTTCTATTTGCTAAATTTCAGAAAACATAGTTATAGTAATCTCTAGATATATATATATATATTTTTTGTAACTTTCCCCAAATTCAAGAGTTTTCATACATTTGGTAAGGATCAGGGATAACTGTCTTTTAAAATGTGTAAGTTGGGTCAAACCTTTTGGGATTAATTCCTCAAATGTGGCAGGGTGTGTATTTTAAACACACTGCTTTCTTGTTTGACTCGATTGGAAAGTCAAAATAAATCAGCCAAGAGATGATGAAGAACGGCACAAGTCTGGTTTATCTTTGGGAACAATTGAATGTGTCACATTCATCTGCTCAAACAATTGTAAGCAAGTATAGACTTGTGAAGTACATCAAGCTGTAGGGCTGTTTTGCTGCAGCAGGAACTGATGCACTTCATATAATAGATGCCGTCATGAGGAAAGAACAATATGTGGAAATACTGAAGCAACATCTAAAGAGATCAGCCAGGATGGGTGTAGACTGGTATTCCAAATGGAAAATAACAAGCATACAGCCAAAGTGGCTACAACGTGACCAACGGACAACAAAGTTAATGTTTCGTTGTAGCCATCACAAATGCTGATGTCAGTCTGATGGAGAAGTTGTGGCGTGTGCGAGTGAGCAGACCTTCAAAACAGAATTAGTTACACCAGTTCCGGAAGTCATACAGTTTAAAAGACAATTGTACCTTATACTGATCAAATGTATGCATTTGAATTCAAGGAAAGTTGCAAAATAATCTCCAAAAAAGAATGTTCTCACTATGTTTTCTAGCACTTAGCAAATAGAAATAATTTTGCTAATTCTAACTTAAAACAAGAGAGGTTTGGTCCTACTTGCCCTCAGACTGTGAGAAAAAAATTGTGTGTTTTTTATTCCATATATGCATGTAAATATCTGGTTTCAATAGTAGCTGCAACCTCACCTGACTGGAGAGGAAACTAATGAAAAGTTCAAGAGAACATTTAGAAAAATGTTTAGCATCATGCCAGAGGGCTGTTTTGCTGCAAGAGGAACTTTGCTTATTCATTCATAACACAATGAATTAGCAAAACTTTAAGACGTTCGGAAGCTTCAAAAACAGAGAAGTAACACAGGCAGAAAACAGGAATGTAGTCTTGAAAGCAGATAGAAATCTCTTAGGGTGTATAATAATAATTTAAATATGAGAGACCTTCACATTAAAAAGGTCTTGGGTCATCCAAGTTGTCCGCTGCCTTGTCCAGATGGCTCTCTCCAGAAAACGAGCAAGAAAGTTGGAGAAATCAGCGTCAGCAGTTGATGATACTGAAGAATAGTCTGCATGCATCGTCGATGCAAATCCATGTTGCCTTATTCAGTGTGTGTACATGTGTGGTTTCAACTGTATGTTTAGAGATGTAATGATTTCAGTGGAAAGTCTGATGATGTCTGACTGATGTTGACTTACCGTGTTTACTCAGCTTTTCTCCATAAGTTCTACAAAAGCATTGACATTTGTCATTCTCTGTCCTAGGCTTCTGTAGATCGTGATGTCTCAGACTTTCAGTGGACCCATTGTCTGTCATGTCCCTAAGCTACCTTAGATACTGAATTCTGTTTTCTGAAGTGAGAGAGTTTCCGGTTTTCAAGCTGAAACCTTTAGTTTCTCCAGGTGTCTTGGTATCCTTATTTACACTCTTCTATTGAAATCTTGACAGATAGATTGTGCCTTCCTAGCTTGACAGAAAACCCCAAAGTAGGCATAACCATGAGGATGATAAACCTTGAGGAGAGATATTTGAGCATCATAGTAAGGCAGATATATTGTATAGTTTTAGTTTATCATAAACCAAACATCATGGAATGATGGCTCTGATTTCTACAAGATCCATTTTCATGTGAAACATCCATAAGGCAGCGAGGGAACCATTGTATTCTCTGAGGTAGTTAAATAATTCATTGAAACGTACTAACTCAATCGGCTCATGTTGCGTTGTCTGTAACATGAGCCGAAGTGTGAAGTGTGCTTGCCCCAGGGTTTCCTAAATCTGGGCTGTGATACTTAGTCACACAGGTTGCCAATTTCTTGCAGTGTCTCTACATAGTAAATGAGATCTTCAGGATGATTCTCTTCGAATCAGGGATAAAACTATTTCCAGGCTAGTGACAGGAAAGCCTTATAGATGGTTTGTGGAGACATTTTGCTCTGTTATATCTGTGACCATCAACAACCCTGGTGCCTGAATAAGATCTGTTATGTTGTGTTATTTAAAAAGACTGCGCTGAGTCAAACTGTGTCATATGTGATTCCAGGATTGAGAAATTTCCCATTTTTAGTAACATAGAAGCTAGTAGCTATGTGTGATTTCATATCAGGATATTTCGTTCGTCATAGGAGTTTTAATACCAACCATGTGCTAATTTGTACTTGCTTTGACAACCGATGTTAAAAGGCAAGTTCAAATAACTTACCTACATTAACTAATAGCTATGTGATTCTAATAGAAATTATCTACTTAAATAAACTAAAACTAGTTTAAACTAATCTGCAAATTACATTATGATATTTGAGCATTCTACAGAATCCTATCAAAACAACTAACGGCAAAAAATAAACTTACATGGAATGGTCTAAGTACATAGGAGATTTTGTTCCTGAAAAACCCACGACTGCTTCATTTATGCCTTTAAAAAAAAATTAAAACTTCACTAAAAACATCCATCTTCCACTTGCTTTGAGCTGGCCTGCCTCCAGCAGCAGATGGACTGGTATAGTCTGTCACTGGGTTTGTTAAAGGCAGATCAATTTTCTAAACAAAGTGTGTTTGTTTGACTTTACAATGCCTGATTTTCCATTATGCATGTAATGGATAAAGTCCTTGCTATTCCCCAGTCAGCAGCTGAGCAGCAGGTGCCATGGCTTAGATAAAGCCATCATTAGCCAAATGAACACTCCACTGGGATCGAAGCTTGTTTACGATGGGGAAAAGACGAGGACGGCTCAAATAAATGCAGAGTTCTTCAGCACCTTCCCGAAGGTGAGTTATTTCTGTTTCTTTAATGTTGTTAAAATACAAACAACATGTATGTTGAGGAAAGCCTTCAATAGACTTTTCTAAACCAGTATCAGCACACAGGCATTTATATACTGGATTTGACAATATACCAACAATCAATCAATAATTTAATTTTACTTAACTGCTGCTGTTAAAATTAGCTTAGCTTTGCTATGACTTCTATACTTTATGAAGTATTNATTGAAACAACCAAAACACGTGTTGACGTAAATTAAATGCTCAAATTAAATGCTGAAAACACAAAATACAAAGACGGCTGCAAGAAAAATCTAAAGAAAATAATGTTGTCACAAGATTTTCTGGCATTCAGCAAATAGAAATAATTTTGGTAATTATTAATGGCCTAAAGAAATAAAAGTTTAATCTGATTTAACTTTAAGCAGTGATGAAAAAAAATGTATTTTTTTATTAGGTGTATGAAAACATCAAGTTTCAACTATATGTGATGTTTTCAAAATTTAGGCTTTTAATCCAACGTGAGATTGAACTTTATTACAAAACTGTGTAGTTTGAATATCAAACACTTTTAAGGACTTTATACAGAATTCAAGCACTTTCCAAACATTTTGTTAAGGTAAATAACCTTCCTGCTCAAATTAAACACCTAAACATAAATACAGTATCTTCACAAACTTTTGAAATCACAGAAAGTTACAATAAAAAATATCTAAAAACTGTTAGTGTTTCCAGTATTTAACAAATAGAAATAACTTTAGGAATTTTAAATGACCTCAAATAAGAAAAGTTTAATCTGATTAAACTTCAGAAAGTGAGAAAAAAAGTTTCTTTTATTAGGTGTGTGCAATAATGTTTTCCAAATTTAGGCTTTTAATGAAACATTAGCTTCTACTTTATTACCAGACTGTGCAGTTTGAATATCAAACATTTTCAAGGACCTTTTTCCATAAATCAAGCACTTTCCATGTCTTGAAAAACCCCGATTGAAATCCAAGCATTTTGAAGGACTTCAGGCGAGCCGTGTTAGTTAAAAGCGGCTGAGCGGCCTCACCCTGAGGAATCTGCGTGGCCAGAGGAGACGAGATGGTGACGAAGTGCAGATCTTTGCAGCCGTAGTGGACGGGCATCTGGCGGCCCTTCCCGAGGTCGTCGGCGTTGGCGTAGCACTGAGCCATGAACAGATCCAGGGGGAAACCGCGGTACATCAGCACTCCTGAGGAGCCACAGGGGAATATTTATATACGAGAACCACAAACAGTAACGGTCATCATACGGCTAATGGAACCGAAATACAGAATCAAGGTGCTGCATAACTCAACTGGAAGGAAAATCCTTGGCATATACTTGCATTTATTTGAGCTGCAGGACTGGATGGAAATTTTTAATCGAGTTAATAGGAGAGTCTGTAATTTATGACATTTTAATCAAAAACTATACATTTTTGTTTGTTTTATTTTTGTTGCTAAATCATTTTATGAGTTCAGAAACAAAGATATTTATTGTTTTTTAATCTGTTTTTAGGTTATTTAACCATCAGATTGGTGCAAAAATGCTTTTATATCCATTCAGCTTTCCAGTGTTTCAGGAACTCTGATTATTCGTGGAACTGAAATAAGACAAAACTTAAAAGTAACTTTTCAGCAAACTAGAGACGATTTTTTTTTCAATAATTCCTTAATATTGATGAAAAAGTACTAATGTCACAGGCAAATTATGTCACTTATAGTCTTGTAAAATTTGAAATAATTTGCCAGTGGATTTTTTACTTTTTTATAAATCAAGCTTCAACAATTATTGACTTAAAACAAGCTCCTGTATCTTGCTGTAATGTTCTTGTACGTTAATTTTGTTTTATTTCAAGTGCAATAAGACATTTGCATTAGAAAATAGACCAAAAATACTTGATAAAATTTATTTTGCAGTGTATATGCAAATAAGCAAAATGTAGAACATTCCTGCTATAAAACCTGTTAAATTTCATTCCATTTTTATTTTCTGTTGATCTACCACAAAAAAGAAAATCGATAAAATACACTGGAATTAGTGAAAAACCCCTAGGGGTGTAAATGCTGTTGAAGCAACGCATGATATGCAAAACCATCCTGAGGCAATACTTTGAATAGAAACAATGACATTTACAGGGTTAAAGGTCATAAAGTATAATAGGAACAGCTTTTTCGTACCAGCTTCTCTGTATTGACCAAAAACCAAATCATTAGACTCCAGAGCTGCAGCACTGCCGATGTGCGTCCCCTCCTCTCCGTAGTTGGTCATGTAGAAGGAGATTCGACCCTGAAAACAATCACATTTTACATCAAATTCCACCTGTTCTCCGGTTAAACCTCGAAGTAAAAGCCAGACCTGTCTCTGAGACTCGTAGAGAATCCGGTCCATCGTGTTCAGCAGCGTCATCTTCTGGTAGAAGTTTAGAACCGTCTCTTTGGAGAGCTGAACGGGAAACAAACAGCAGAGCTCCTAATGTGAACTTTAACAACGACACATACAGGTAGAGTGGATTTACCTGGGGGTCCTCAGAGGGGTTAATTATCTTGCCCTGCCTGTCCATCACCCGGTACACGGGAATCCCAGCAATAACATTGGGCTGAATGAATTCAAGATGGTCCACGAACTCTGCTGAGGCGCCGGGAAACTGGGGCTTTTCCAGAGACGAGTCAAAGGGCTGCTGCTGCTGCTGCACGGCCTGGAGGAGGAAAAGTTTTACTCTCGAAAACCCTCCAGTATGTGAGTAACTACAGATCTGACTGGATTACTTTGTAATTCTTGATATAAAACAGTTGAACTAGGGATGCAAGAGATCTATTAATGAGTTAATCTAAAGTTGACTAATCTCGTGGTCAATTAACGATAAATTGATAAGCAGCCATTTTCTTAAAAACCTGAGTTTTTTTCTTGTATTTCCATAACAGGAAGAGCAATTTTTTTTTCAGAATATTCTGAATTAAAAATATATATTTTAAATTTTAACATTATTTTGTATCAGCTGTTGGAAAAACAGACTGAATAAACAGAATTTTTTGGTTTTCTAACATTATTAAACTTAGAAAATAGAACAAAACTGAAACCTCTTAGATTGTTGAATAGAAAAAAGATGAAAAGAATAAATATCATAAGCACTTCTTTTCTAGTGTATATAGAGATATTTATAGGGAAGTGCTGTCTGAGGTTGCTCTTGAAGGAATTAACACTTGGCTTTGTTATCACATCCTCAACTTCATAGCAAATCAGTCATTTTTGAATAAAAAGCTGCCATTGCTCTATTAAAGTGACAAATTAAGCTTGTCTAGTGGGTCTATTTCAAGACAGAACCGCATAAAGTCCATTTTCCATCCCAAACCGCACTTTGTTTGGACCGTTGCCCTTTCCCGTTCTCAGATATCTCCGCCATCTTTTTTTTCTGTTTCAACCTGTCCATCAACGGCTCCGTGTATGGATGACCAGCGACGCCCTCTACTGGAAGGCGGCCGAACTACAACACTAAAAGAAGATTCAAGTGGACGTTATTAGTTAATCTATTGGGATTAATTTAGATTTAATAAGCAATTGATTGTCAATAAATAGTAACTCGATTAGTTGTTTTCATGTTAACAAAAAAGGAAGGAGAAATTACATTGATATTTGCCTATTTAGAAGCCAAAGACTTGGTGCAGCACAAAGGGAGTGTCTTGACTAACGGACCGTGAAGTCTACATTTGCATTTTCTACAATCGTAGCAAACGGAGACACAGCGTCCTCCAACTTGGTGTCCTCAAGACAAAACAAGTGGTGAAATTTTAACTTCTACTGTCTGGTTAAAAACAAAAAACAAACAAAAAAACTAGATACTTCTGGTTCTCGCTTGAATAAAAGTCTTAACATGTCTGTTTTAAAGCATGTTAAAGCATTTAGTCACGTAAAGTTTCCATAGACTCATTAAACCAATTCTGAGAGCATCATGTTCACCTCTAGGTGGCACCACAGGTTAACTAAAACAATTAGTTAACCTACTTGGTCCACAAGTGTAAAATAACTTCACATAGATTTCTACATATTAATGCGGTGGCATTATGTATTTTCCAGGAACACAGTGCCATTTTAGAGTACTATCAAGTAACTATGTTACCTTTAAGTGGCCTAGAAAATTGTGGACAAGACAGTATTTGACACATTCTACAGGAAAGATAAACCACAAAAAGCTAGGGGTATTTAAGCTGACTGTTCAGAGTGTTTTTCTCAAGTATATTCAAGGAAAGTTGAGTAGAAGAAAAAAGTGCGGTGGAAAAAGCCTGAGCTACACTTATTACAGTCCTTGCATTAAGCCACTCCTGAAGCAGAGACTCAGAAAAGTCTGTCATAGCCTAAGTGCAACAAGTACTAAATTTGTGGTTCTGAGTTCTGGTTATCAGAGCCCACAATCCAGCACATTTAACAAGTCTCCATACTGCCACACACCTGACTTAAATGAACGGTCAGTAGCACTACAGAGGAGGAGGTAAAATATATTCATACTGATATGACTTTACTATTGCAGTTACTTATTTACTGGTACACTGATTATAGTATTTAATGCTCAAATAGATAATTTTTTTAATTAACCAACTCAGTTGCACATTCCTTTGGAACAAAGCATATGCTGAAATTTTGCCCATACAGTACCTTTATTCTTTATTTATACACTTCATTTGTTTACTGCTTAATACGTCCTTCAACATTTACAACAATGCTTATTTGTACCCATATGTGGCCTGCCATGTAGGTGTTCTAAAATAGCTGGTACCCTGGTTAGTTTGAGTCCTCACACCCCTTTGTTTGACCAATAGGAAGGAAGCTAGCCAAAACTTTAGCCGGCCGGCTAGCTAGCTACATCGCTGGCTTTCAGGGTCCGAACGAATGACAATAACTCACAAAAATCTAATTTAAAATCAAGTCGTATTACTGCATTACGGTATTAAGTTTTTTGTTGTTTTATTTGTCGCCTGCATTGTCGAGACAAAAAAAGTTGCCTTAGTCTCAGAGATGCTAACATAAGTACCTTGTTTACAAACTATCGCGAGAATTAAATGATGCATATAACACGTTCGTACAGATTTTAGCACCTAGGAAGCCAAATGCTCGCCATGACCCTCGGAAGCGACTTTAATGCGCAACCACTGCACCTAGTTAGGCCAAAACGGGGCATCCTCTAGAGATCTTTGTGGGCTACACATAACTAAACCCATCTTAAATATGTATTTTAGTTTGAATTGAAGCGGTTTAAACTCACAGTAACTCTGAAGGACCGACGCTGCAGCAGCCTCGGCGACTTCAATGCAGCCGTTTGCCGAACAGCATGACGACATAACCCAGATATTCTGCTCATACTGCTAACAGCCGCCATCTGAATTCTTCAGTCGCTTGGTTGAACTCCCAGAAACAGTATTTGCTAAACGGTTACAGTAATGAGTTTGACTTCAACAGGATAAAGTGAAAAACTCTCAGACCTCCACTGCTCCCATTCACTCTTTTTCTTTCGGTATGTACAGTTGGATGACGCCATACTGCCCCCTTTAGGCTAGATAGTGACATTAATCTGGTGCATCTCAAAAAGCAGAATACAATCGAAAGCTTTTCAGTAATTTAGTTAAGAAGTCCAAATCTACAGCGATGTATTAGGCTCATTGTAGATTAAAAAAGAGGAGTAAATTTGTGGAAAATAAAGTCATTAATTTTGAGACTGGTCTTTGAACATTTCTGAGCTCCAAAAGTAAATAAAATAAAATAAAATATTTTGAGCTTTGATCTCTGAAATTTTCTAGAAACATCTTTTTTAAACAGAATTTCTGAGATTAATTTCAAAATTTCTCAAGTGTTTTGCTAGCAAATTATCCACTTTTCATAAAATGATTTTTGTTTTAGAAATTATAATTTCTGAAATTAACCTAACAATTTCTGAGTTTATTTTAGCCAATGTACAATTTTTTAAACTCAGATATTTCTCCTTTATTTAGCTCATTTAGCCTTTATTTCTCCTTTTTTTTTCTTTGTAGAAATATTCATAAAAGGAAAAAAAAAACAATTTCAAGTTTTTTTCTAGAAAATTTCTCTCCATTTGTGTTTTTTTTTTTTTTTTTACTTATTTTTTGCGGCCTTTTTCTTATTGGGTTTCAGATTACGTCGCATCGACGTCACCCAATGCTGATGGAAGGCAAGAAGTAAATCCAGCATCAAAATGCCTAAAGTCTGAGTCGTGTATGGTCGTTTCAACCGCTCTAATAGAGAGAAAGATAAGCGTTATTTTTGTGTTTTGACGGTAGTTGGTCATAAAGGAGTTAATTAAAAAAAATCTTAGGGAAAAAAAGAGGAGAAAAGTGTATCAACAATCTACCGCTAAAAACAGGAGAGTTTGCAGCGCCCACTTTCTAACAGGTAAGGATCGTTTAAATTGTATTTTCAGATATTTTATTGGCCAGTTCCTTGGAAGGACAACGACTATTATTGTAAGGTAAGATATATTATTTTTTACACCCTAAACATAATATATCTTAGTCAATATAGTTTGGTTGTCCCCAAAGTGCTAATGTTGTTAGCAGCTAGCTCAGTGCCGAGTCCTTGACAAAATATGTTTATTCAGTGGGATTTTCATGCAAAAAAAAAAAAGCTAAATAAATTAAATATAACCTACTACAGTCACAGTGAGCTGTGACTTTCCCCCCACGTGGTTCGTGTCTGGACAGAACTATATTCGTGGTCGGACCTACACTGGACCCGAATCCAGCAACAACTCAACATTAACATGCAACTCCAGCATGAATTTGGGTTTACAGTAGCTAAATAAATTATTTACCGAAAGATCCAAACTCATAGAAATAACATGGGTTATTTGTGTTGTTAGCAATAGCATTATTATAGACTAATTACTTAAAATAGTACAACTCACTACTCACCCGCAGAAACAGCCATGTAATGCTTCTTTTGATCCTAAATGGTTGACCCTACCTTAAACAAAATAATTTTATGCTCCAGGCTTCTGAAACCTTTCATCTGGGACGTCATATAATATGAAGTCTGCAGCTCCAGATGGTGAGTTATGTGGATCTCCTCGACTCCTCAAAATGATAAGTCTTTTTTACTGATACAATACGGATCATATCCTAAATATACATGTATTTTCTCGAGGTACCTCGTCTGTTCCAGCCCATTATGGTACTCGCTGTGATCCATTAACCGGAGAAATCGGGGCCATCTGAATTTCGCGCGTCATCCAGGTCACGTGTCTGAAACCTAGCAATATATAGCTATATATAGTGCAATTTATTGCCGTTTTATTTATAAAAGTGCTGTATTTAAGTATTTGGATGAGTTTAAGTGCTGTATTTAAGTATTTCGATGATTATAGCTCCAGTTTCTCCTTAAAATGTGATTTTAAAAAATAACAGAAAACATCGGTTGGAGAGCTCCTTTTTCATAAATTATTTAATGCAAAGCAAAGAGTCTATCTAAAGCTTTTTCCATGTTTTAGAAGTGAGATCTGATAATCTTCCATTATAAACGCACATCTGCTCAGACAAGTAAGATTATTTTTCATATTAACAGTGAATCAGGGGAGAGCGCGAACGCAGTCCCCCACTACCAGAAATTATGCAGTCGAGATTCCCACATTTGGGGAATTCGCAGGGGTCAGCACAACCGGAGTGCAATGGCTGAGCCTCACCCTGGGTGAACCACCTTCATGATCATGGTATCTCCCCTGCCAGGTAAGTATGAGTTGCTCTTCTCTCTCGCCGGGATGTCTTTCGCAGGCATACCCACATGACTCACGGTGCTGACACATTGTTAGCTAAAAAATAAAAGGCAGGAGACCACTATTACACGAGCTAAAACATTCTGGGATAACTTGGTTAAATAAACCAGGAAAAATGTTAAATATAATGTCTAAAATAACGTTTGATTACCCACAATGCAATGCTGTTAGCCTAGCTAACGCTAGCAAACAACTGACACATTTTTACAGTTTTTAACTTCTAGTAAAGCCCTAGTAACCAAACAGGGACATTATGAAT